ACACACACACACACACACACACACACACACACACACACACACACACACACACACACACACACACACACACACAGCAATGACAAACTATCGATGTACCACTAGTATTCAATACTGTGTATTATTGTTTATATTTGAGACTAAAGGAGTGTTCATTCCACCGTGGCACCACTGAGGACCACTGTATTGTTCTATTGTAGTAGCAATACTGTTAATGCACTTAAAGGACATCACCCAAAGAAAATTGCCTTAAAACAGCCTGCACTTGGTGATGGGACTGTGTTGAAGCACCGCAAAGGACCAGTATGGATACTGCTCCCGCAGCGACTTGACTTTTGTAAAACAACGTTTAAACCTGTGGATTTAGATGAACATCACATATGCAGTCTTTTTGTAAATTGTTTGATTTGGTTAATGAGTACAGTGACTTGTTTTTGTTTTTTTGTTTTTTATTTTTTTGAATATTTAGGTCATTATCTATAATCCATCACAGCCTAATTAAGGAAATGAATGCTATGTTGAAGTGAACTTCATTGTGAGAATCTTTTCATTCAAACTGTTATCATGCAATCAGCCTAGACAACGCTACAACACGTCAGTCCATCATCTAAGCTGATGTTTGTAATTGACATGTTGTCAATCATTTGACGTTTGTTTTTTGGGGGGGTTGGACCACCCTCTTAAAGGAGCATATAAAGGGCTCGGCATTCCAAACAGTCAAAGTCCAAGACTGTGTTTCTTCGTTTTTCTTCTAGGTTATTTTGTAGCAAATAGTTTGTTAAAGTATTTTTTTCCCATCATATGAGGTTTGACCAGTTTCACATTTTGATGACCAGTACTAATGTTTTTGGTTGAGCTTTTGAAGGTAAAGTGTAAAGTTCAGACCTCTGTTAACAGCGAATAACTACTAGAATTCTTAACTGATCAGTGCAGTCACTCTTTAGCTTTGTCTAAAAGTTTTCTTTGGTTTTTTTTACATCCATGATTTGATTGATTGAGCAGCACAATTAGATTTTTTTGTATTCCATGATTTTGATGTTTATAAGTAACAAAGAATCATTTTTTAAAATCCGGGTAAAATAAACTGTCTAAGCATTTGTTTTAATCAGACCCTGGGTACACTATGCCCGACAGGAGGCCTCGGAGCTTTTACCTTAAACAAAAATTACAGTGGACACCAAAATTGTATTTTTTTTAATTTTTTTTTTATTATCCCAATGTTGCTGCAGTACACGTGTATCTCAACAGGAATTATTGAGAAAATGTTGCACGGAGGATCGTTGTTCTCCGATAAATGCAGCTGGTATGTCTTTCTTATAGAGTACCAGAGTGTTCTCGACAGCAAAGTGGCAGCATTGAAACGCGATGCTGCTTCTTTCTTAAAAGAAAGTAAAGTATGAAGTCAACGTTATCTGACGTGTGTGCGTGTGTGAGAGAGAGAGAGTGTGTTGTTATTGCATGCACACTAGTACATAATGTGCATGGATTTGCAAGTGTTAAACTGCTTGTCTGTGATTCTGTAAATGACCTCTCTTGTATTATACTCGTGTTTTTGGTCTTATGTAGAGGCCAGTATTGCCTCAGCTCTTAATTCCCTTTATTACTTATGTAATTTGTACCTTCTTCTTAAAGAAAGACACTGTAAATAGTAACTCAAAGACCAAAATACACGTTGCACATGTGCCTTGATGCATTCAGTAGTATGTGTATTGGTAACTCTTAACTAACTGGACGTACAGTAACTCTGTATCTCTAAACATGACATTGAAATCTTTATTTCATACTATTCTTTATTATTTACTTATGTTATTTTCTTACATTTCCTACCATTTGTATGTATAGAAAGATTATCTATTTTGTACTTTTGTCTTTTCCTCTTGATTAAAAAATAATTTCCAGTATAAGCCCTTGATTTTTTCCGTGTCATTTTTTTCAGAAAGTTATTTTTTTCTGCAGAAATTAACACTAATAGTATACACTAGACTGTGAAAAAGAAAAGACCCATCGTAAGAAAGGAAAATACACCTATGACAAACAGAAATGATGAACATAATGGACTCATTTAGTCTGAGATCTGCTAGAACTGTTTATCCATTTAATACAAGTTTTAATAAGTGTATACATGCAATATCACTTTTGATAATATATATACTTTACTAAAAGTAGCGTTTAGCTGACGGACCTGATTGCCCGCACTCAATCTGATGATTGCATTTCTAAAAAGTGCAGTAAATCTGAAATACTGTATACAAAAGGTGGACACTTCTAGGTCAGAAAAGTAAAAAGATAATGGAAGTACCGTAAATTTCCATTCTTTCTAACAGTCAGCAGGGGGCAACTTAATGATGCTTAAGGCTCTTTTGTCTGCTAGCTCAGTAAACACTTTCCTTTAATTACAAAGGAAATGACAAACTACAGCATTCTGTTTGTTTTGTAACTTATTGTTTCCATTAGCGAGAAAAATGGGAGGATAAGTCAGGCTCTGCTATGCCATGTCAGTGTCGCTAACCTGTGAGGATAGGGTTGCCAACCGTCCCTTAAAATACGGAATCTTCCCGTATTTCGCAACAAAAGTACACGTCCCGTATTGAGCTAATAAGGGACGCACTTTGTCCCGTAATACAGTGAGAATCAAAAGTAGTCTATAAATGTTAATGGAATTAACGCTTTGTTTGAAAACATAATTCCCAGCCCCTCTCCTGCTTTGTGACCAATGAGCTGACAGCACACTTATGACAATTCGAGTATGACAATTCAGATTACCGCTCATCTCATTGGTCGAGGAAAGGTCGCTTACGGAGAAAATACCGGAAGACAACAGATGACCACAACAACAAGCATGGCCAACAGGGAAAGTCTCGGACGACAGTACACCCAAAGCTGGGCAGACACTGTGCGATTTTTTCAGTCACGTTATTCAGCTCCTGCTCAAACTGCACGATTGACTCGCAGGGGTTAGACGTTGGTAGGTCACGATGCAGTCTCACACTATACCGCCCGATGCTCTGATGCGACCTGAGTGCTCACACTGTGCGTCCATAAAATGAAGGTTATAACAGAAATTATGTCGTTCTCTCTCTGTCTCTCACTCACACAGACACACACACCACCACCATCAACTTTGCTAAATTGCTAATGAAAAACATTGATCAGGCAGCTGTGATTGAGCAGCAATGTAAATCCAACTATTTTCACGGTTGTTGTGGTCGTGATCATTTTGTGAGGCCACATTGGAAAGCTCATCCGAGCCTTTTCGAAGTTCTACAAGTTGTGCCTCCATCGCTTGTGTCCAGATCACACTGGATCTGGACACAGCTGCTGTGCTGCTCCGTCTTTTTCACCGACGTTTACGTGTTTGCGCGTGAGCAGTGTGAGCGCCTGTGGTGACACCCTCACGAGCGATTGATGATCGGGAGCTGGTCGTGAGGTGTTAATCGCTTCTCGTTACCCCACATATACTACACGACGAAGGCCAAAATCGGTCCGATCACTCAAAAATCTGCTAAAAATGGGCCAAAAACCGCACAGTGTGAGCCCAGCGTTAGAGCAGCAATGTTTGTTCCCCTCAGAGAAAGGGAAGAATGGGAAAAGGAAAACACCTGGCTGGAAAAAGTTACTATGGGCATGTGCAGTGAATATCAGCGCTATGTGGCCAGAAGTGTGATAATATAATTTATTTTGTGTAATAAACAACTGCAAGGATAGATGATTACAACAAATAGATGACTAATACATAAAAGTAATACATAGGTGAATAATGATGATGAGATGCGTAATCATGGGAACAAGCGGGTTTACAAACAGGAGCAGCTGATTAGCATTAGAAAAGCTGAAATAATACCTCAACTGAAGCCAATTGTACTAAATGCACTAAATGTGCACTGTTACAAGAATATTTTTCTTTCTATTGTTTTCTATTATTTTAAGTTAAGCAGGACAGAGTTCTTTTAAAGAAAGATTGTTAATGTGTTAATGTTGTCATTTTGAGCTAAAAATAAATGGCTAAATGATCATTTGTTTCACATGTGTTCATATCACAAAGAATAGAATATGCATCTACTTAAATCAACTTCAAGTCAAATGGTTAAAAAAATAATTTCACACACAAAAAAAGAGCTAGAAAATTCACCACACTGGGAAGGGTGAAGACAACTGGGTCGCCCGGCCCTGGCCACGAGGTGTCCCTTATTTATTTTTCAGGGAGTTGGCAACCCTATGTGAGGATGTAGTGTCGTAGCTGACAGCGAAAACGTGTCACTTGATATTTAAGAGACATTTAAAAATACTAAATCACTTAGTTTCAAGTCACACCTTTCAGATGGTTGTTATGGTTGGTAATTGATTGCTAATCAAACTTGCTAGCACTAGCCTAAAACTTAGGACTTCATCTGTTATCTGAATATCGTCACTTTTGCATCTATAAATCCAGCACGATGGCTGCTAACAAGCTAACACTAAAGATTAAAGTTGCTGGTGAGTGTATTTATGTTGTGTCAAAATCATTTGGGTTTATATTTTTCTGTAAACCACAGCACATCAGAAGCTGTAAATCGGGGAGCTACATATCTTAGCAGACAGATATCACAAGTCTTAAGATCACGTTATTCTTGTTTTATTTGGGAGCTTTGTCATCACTGGATAGTTTGCAATTCAGGGTTTTTGTACCGAAATTCTTCACTTAGTTTTATACTGTATGTTCCCTTGCGATCATAAAAATGAAAATAAAATACTCTTACATTGTGGTGCAAAAGCTTTATTCATTTAGTGTTTGTTAAATCATCAAGTTTCAAAACAGTAACTCTACAGCACAACTGAGATGATAAAGCTATAAGTTATTATTTAGGTCTAAACATACTATAAATATTTCCTGAGCACTTAATTGCACTTTAACATGTTTCTTTTGGGAAGAATTAAGTGTTCCTGACCGGGCAAAGGCACACAGACCTCGTTAAAAAACAGAAAGCAGGGGGAGGCAGCAGGAAGGGAAAGGAAAGGAGACAGTTTAACAAGAGAGACAGGAGACAAGGAAGGCGTGGTGAGAGTATAAATCTGTGCACCAATCACTGAAAATAAGAACTTCAAGAAAGTTTTGCAGATAGTTTTATTTTTCAGGAGTTTTCTGCTTAGGATGCTTTACGAAGTCATACTGTGTCAGTATGTAAAGCATCACACTGTACACATTTCAAGTAATAAGTCATAAAAACAAAGCCTGATTTTAAAGTCTGAGAAGTGCACAAGAGATGGATACGCTAATGCTCTCTGAAATGAAAGCCTGGCTTCGACTACACAATCTTTTACAGCGACAGCTATAATATCAGCTTCTTTAAGGTACTACAGAAGGAAAGTGGTCAAAAAATGTTCTCGGTAAATGACGGCACTTTGTATGTATAGCTGATCCTCGTTTTCCCACATTACTCTGAAGCATGACATACAAAGTGCATACGCAGACAGAAGAACAAGGAGCAGAACAGAGATTCAAAAGAAAGATCACAGTCACTTTATTCAGCAGCTGGTCAGACAAAGAAAGACATATTACTACTGTAACCACTTATACACATCAGCATTGGATGTTGCGTATATAAAAATAATTCAAAATTCCTGTTTCCAAGTAAGAATGGCAAAAGGCAGGATATAACTATATGTTATTCTAAGGCATCTCAAGCGAGAGATGAGTCACTTCCAGTTTCAATTTGATCCATAAATGAAAATTTAGAATACAACTTGAATTACATGACAACATAGAGAATAGGCAAGGCCATGCACTCATTTTAATGTTTGCATTTTACATAGAAATGCACAGGGGCTGCTTTTTCTCTGTTGGCCCACAACTGGATTCTTTCTAAATGTCAAGTGTCTTCTAACATGTCAGTGAAGTCTAGCCTTCAGAGACCGCACTGTGCCGACTGTGGGGCTCGGTAAATATCTCCATAAGTCTTTAAAAGAGCTGGAAACATTAGCTACCTCCCTGGGACGTTCTAATGATAGGTTGCCGGTCTTCATGTATTTTGGCAGTGAGGGGAGAAATGGATTGTCATGGATGTGCTTTGAAGCCAAACAGCATGTCAGTCCTGTTGTCTTGAAATAACTGTAAACCTTACACTTAATGTTCATTGCATCTCACAAAACAAAAGCCTACAATATTAGAAAGAAAGGTATATCATTTGGTAATGATGTGGACTCCAATAGAAATGCTATTGAAAAAAGTGTATTTTTTTAAGTGCATAGTTGCATGTGTGCACCTCTACATTTGTGTGTATAAATCAGCTCTCACCTCCTCCATCACTACCAGTGGTTTATGGGAGCCCAGCAGGGAGCCACATCAGCCTTCCCCTTTGATGGTGACACACATGATTCATGGCTTTCCGAGACCGTTTGTTTTCATTACGCCTCCTCGTCAGCTCGCTAGCTGTATCGCGGTTTCGTGCAACGCAAGCAAATTCGGGCCAGAACGAGAGGAAAGAATGTCAAGGGGAGAGGTTTTTTTGGCACTGAAAGAAACAAAGGGGCTAGGTTTTGGGATGGACAAGAAACTTAAGGCAGAGTGACGGACAGCCGTGGCTGCTTTTTTTTTTTTTCCCCAACTTTTGCTAAGGTTCAGAGGTAGTCAGGGATTCCTTAAATGTCAATGTTGGAAAACCAGGAGCTGAAAGCCCACGGAAAAGTCAAAAGCCTGACAACTCTTGCAACATTCAGTATGGTGTTCGCAGTTCTTTCTTTCTTTTAAGTCCTCTGCTCTATAGATATTACACAAACCTTTATACACTTTCTACCTCAAGAAAGAAAGAAAGTTAAATAAAAAATGGCTCATTGTATGTAGACCTATGGTGATGGTTATGTTACTGATAATAGTGATAATACTGATTTTATTTAAGGTGATAAAATCAGGGGTGATGGCAATGATGATGAAACCAGCTGTCATGCTTCAGTACCTGAGAGAGCTGATGGGTCAGGGGGCTCCAGCAGAATTAGCTGTGCTGCTATGAAGCGTCAAAGACGATCGAGTCCTTAACCATCAGCTTGATGAAGCGAATGCATGTTGAATGAAAGCTTCCATTGTGATTCATGTAAACAAAATACACATGTTAAAAGAAAAAAAGAGAGAAAACAATCCCTAAATAAGCTAGCAGTCCCTGCTTGAACTCATTGCATTTGCATTCGTGAGCAGTGATAGCTGCTTTGGAAAAAGCAGACAAGTGGAATGACAATAATCCACGGTTACATCTCATAAGTTCATAACCAATCAAACAAATGCTCATGTGAAAGCTTCCTCTCATGAAGTGTTACGCTGTCTTTTCATTGAGGCAACCAGATCGCAACCGAGGTGTCAAGTAGTGTGAATCCACTAGTGAGCAGACACAGTTTGGACATCTCCTCAGCCCCTTTGCATCATACTTTTTAGGCTTCCAGACAAGGCTAGTGACCAGCAGACATGGTTGACCAGGCTCCCTCCATCCTCCAGACAGAGAAAGCATAGCTCAGTCTCTCATGGGCCAGGTAGTTACATCCTGCCAGCTTGGTGTCCATCTCATCACTCTGCAGAACCTGGTACAGAAAGTCAATGTAGCGTGACGCCAACTTAAGTGTCTGGATCTTGCTCAGTTTGTCAGAGGGGAGCGTTGGGATTATTTTGCGCAACGAGGCAAAGGCTTCATTCAGAGATCGCGTCCGCTGGCGCTCCCGGATGTTGGCGATGACCCGCTGGCCGTGTGGGTCCTCGAGGCCGCTTGAAAGACCTTCAGGGCTGGGACCGGGCGCAGGAGAAAGGGAAAGCGGGTGATGCTGAGGACTCTTCTTGAGCTTTTTGGGGCCAGTAGGATTGTAGCTCTGAATGTCATCTACTGGCTTGACCTTGCCGTCGTCTGCCGACATGGTGGGTGTAATTGCGGAAATGTGATCCTCCATTTGGGCACCCATCTGCCGCTTACGCCCGGTGATCCCCGCCGTCGCAACCACAACAGGACAGGCGTTAGAAAGTGGTCGTTTGTTGTTCTCCTTGCTGGACACCACCCCTCCCTCAGGATGGTCATTTGAGTGTTCCTCCTCTCGCATGCTTGGCCACGTTCTTCTTCTATCTCCTCTCTTCTTTATTTCACTGTATCCTTCACTCTTATTTTGTCCAGTTTCCTTTAATGTCTCTCTCCACTCCTCCACCCGTAACAGCAGTTTCCCTCCCTTCCGATTGCTGTCGGGAACTCCCTCAGTACAGCCGCGGGTTTCTCTGATCTTCTGCTGGGTTCTTCTTCTTCGCCAACCAACTTTTCACATTGTCATATCCAGACATGCCAAACCAAAACACGTAAGTAATGAGTTCAGTTTTTCTGACCAGCTCTGTCGCGTTACATGTTAAAAATCTCTTCCCATACTCGCTGAGAGAACGCTGCATCAGCAAAGCTAGAACGTTCTCATGTCCCACTCCCACTGCAGCATGTGAGACAACAGCAAATCGAATCAGACTTTTTAAAGCGAAGGGAGCATGAAGCTTTCAGCTGCCCACCCATCTGACTCACTGATTGGTCCAAAGGTTTCTTTTTCTGGGGGACAGCTGAGCACAAGACAACAGAAAAAAATGAATTCTGACTGATTGGTCGGATCAAAGGATGAGGCGGAGACAAAGGTGTGCCATACAACCAAGTGAAACGAATCGCTCTGACGTTTCTGGTCCCAGAAGTTGCCCGAGTTTATAGGTTCCAGATTTCCTCTAAAGCAAGCCATTACCATCCCCCGCCTCTCGCAGACCGTTCTCTGTCGTCTCCTCTATAACAGTTCAGCACAGTCAACCATTGCCTTCAATATAATTAAAAACAAAAAAATTCATTAAAAAGAAGCTCCACCAATGTTTGTCTCTGATTATAAAGTTGGGCAAAGTTCAACTTAGATTTTTCTGCCCCTAGGTTGTTTTTTGTGCTTTACAAATAATGAAATGTGGTGATTTTTTAAAACACATTCCAAGCAGATGGAGTAATAGTTAAAACCTGGAGAAAAGAAAATTCAGCTAGTGTTGCGATTTTGGCCGTATGCAATGATTAAAGGTGTGGGATTAACAGGAACTGCTGTATATAATACTTATTAAATTACATGAAATACAATGAACATGGTAGTCTATTACCACAACACTTGGCCACCAATGAGGCACCATTATTTTCCATATGTAGTAAATGCAAAAATAAATAAATAATGATCTCTTGTATAAAGAGTTGATACATTTCCTTACAATCCTAAAAGAATGAAGACAGAAGGTTCTTGTTTTGGAAACAATACTGTTTTATTTTACTGGCAATGCCTTAGCTGTAGTTACTAAACACAGACCTGGAGGGAGGAAGGAGCTGGCATTCAGTCAGCACTGAGGTCTAATCACAGCATTAAGGAAAGAATGAGTACTGTGAATCAGAGGCAGGCCTGTGGGACATTTTGTTACTTTCATCCACTGTGCTTCAGCATGCACTGGTCCAGATCCAACGTGGGCTTTAGCTCTCCAAATTTCTGGGGCAGCCTCCAGTACAGCACGGCCCACAGCCACACCCTGACAAGAGAAGAGTCTATTGTTAGCATTTTGCATTTCATAGGAAAGATGCTTCCCTCTGATGAAAACACCCGGTTCATGATGCGTTTCTTTGACACTCGCAATTAGGACACAGAGCTGGAAATTCTCAAACTCTCCCCACTGAGTTATAAGTCAAGTCCACAGTTAGAAGAGAAACCTCTATTTTCCTGATAATAAATGATGTCATTTCTCTTGTGCACACACCACTGCTCAGCATCAAAGTGCTCTTTTTGCCACAGATTTTTGTTCTAGTGAATAAATACTGCTAAAACAGTTTTTAATCAGAGTATAGGATGAAGTCAATTAAACGTCTGGGATATTGATATGCTGAGTTAAGTAGCAGAGGGTTGTTTTTTTTTATCTGTTTCTGTTGCTCTGCTGTTAATTAAATTAACGGCAGCTACACTAGAAGGGCAACAATGAGACAATCCCCATCTGCTTTTAAAGTAGAGGCCTTTTTTTTTTTTCTCTCCTCGCATTTTCTTTTTTCCCCCCTTCACTTTAGGATCAGAATACCACAGAATACCAAAATTGAAAGATCCACCACTGGTGCCCTGTGGTTTTCACAGATGAGAGGAGGTTCACCCTGAGCACATGTAACAAATGATAAAGGATCTGGAGAAGGTCCACAGCAATGCCCGGGCTCATGCAGCAGGAGTATGCAGACAGTTCCTGGAGGATGAAGGATTGATACCATTGACTGGCCCCCATGCTACCTAAAATTCAACAGAACACCTCTAGGAGATGATGTTTTGGTCCATCTGAAATCCCCAGATCACATCTCACACTATCAAAGCCCTCATCCAGATCTGGGGGGAAATCCCCCAGGAGACATCTCATTAGGAGAATGCCCCGATATCAGGCACGCATACAAGCACGTGGGGTCATACAAACTACTGAGTACCAAATATCAGCACAAAGGTGTCTTTGAATTCACCTAGGTTGATCATTTTCACTTCCATCAAATGGCTTGGTTGTATTAACTTGAAAAAAGAAAGCAACTGGACAAAATAAAACAAAATAATTATTACTAACTAACAAAAAAACATCTGAGCAGAAACGTCATGGACATTGTCCAGCTGCAGTGAGAGAAGGACACGTCTCCGTATTACTATCTAGTTGCAGTTGTATCAGATTGCAGACATTGTCAAACCCAGTCCACCTTTTCCACAGTGGATTTAAAAAAAAACCAAACAATTTATAACAAATTAGTCTACAATTCATCTTTGTGATGCACAATATAAGTTATTTGTCCTGGTAGGCTCAAATAAATAAGGCTACCAGCCATCATGAAGACATGATCTGAATCCTTTGATATGATTTAAAATTAAATACACATAAATCATTTAAATGACTTAATTTAAATGACTATGTTAAGACTATTCTCCTCAGTCATAGCCTCTTCATGCTTGTCAAGATCATCAGTGTAGGATGGGCATATCTGCTGCTCTGTAGCTACAAGAATATTATTCAGTATTACACAGATCATACAGAAATTAAAGCAACTGTAAATATAAAAAAGTTGATGATGTGGTTCTGTGCTGTTTTGGTCTGGTTAGTTAAAGAGAATGTAACAACCACAAAAGTTTCTCTTCTGAATGTATGGTTTTTTAACAAGATTTGCACTCCTGAGTATTTATTTAATGAAGAGCAGCTTGCTGCGTTTAAGGATCATGATTTAAATCACTATTAGAAGACTCAACTTACAGAAAAAAACATGAACCTGACTGATGAGATTCAAATGCCCATCTGACAAGAACAACTGTTTACCCAGCTTTACACACCCAGGGATGGAGCAGTCAAGGCCTGCTTTGTAATTTCCCACTAAATCACAAAAAGCAGTAAGCCACTCTCTGATGGGGAGTTTAGCAATGAGGGCTTGATCGACACTGCCTCGCTAATATGTCCTAAGAAAAAAGAAGTCTTCAAAAATGTGCCCGTCTCTGGACAACCTGTAACAAAAGGGATCGAGGGCACAGCCAGAAACACAGAGCTTCAATTGCAATACCGACAATTAATCAACTTTGCAGTTGAGATAACACCAGAGAATGGTCTGTTACTGGAGTTAAGTACATATCAAAGTTATTATAGTTTTGTATTCTCTTATTAGTTTTTTTTTTTTTACTTTTCTCTTTTTAATTCCATTTTATTTTAGTTAGTTTCCAGAGCAGGTTTGCCCATTTCACTCGAGTTTTTATTGTTTGAAAATGTCTCTTAAGTATTATTGTATTTATGGCAAATGTTTGATGCAAGATTTAGGAAAATCAGTATGAATATTACAGTGTAAACAGAACTTTTTGAACTCACAGTCTTTTCAACATCCAGGTCTACATTACTAAATTAACAATGGCTTTTTATATGTGTAAATAATACAGTTAACATCAACCGAACTTTGCACAAAAACTGACTTTCAAAGCTCAGGTTCAATATCTAGTTAAAGACTAGATTTCGCACACTGAACAAGGAAAAGGTGGAAAACTGTACATGAAGTCATTAAACAGCAAGAAAAATAGCAAAATCACTTTTTTATAAAGTCTTTTAAATTTTGTAAAAATGGGCATTTTGAGGGGGGATGATGGGATGATGATTAAATATACAGCAGGTCATCTGCTAATTGAAAGGTTGGTGGTTAGATCCCTCCCGTTTGTGCAAGATGCTAAAGTCAAGTTGCTCTGGGATGCATCCGAGTATGAATGGGTGTGCATGTTAGATTGAAAGAACAGAGAATGAGACAAGTTGTGCGAAGCGCTTTGAGTCCCCAGATAGAAAAGTGCTATATATATATATATAT